TTTTGAACCCCGGGAAAACCCAAAAAAATTCCCCCTGGGGGTCCTGGGGGCCCTGGGGGGCCTGGGGGTGTGTTTTATTTTTTACCCCCGCCCGCGTTCCCGGGTTGCCCAAGAAAAAACCTCCGTTTTCCCGGGAAAAAACCAACCCCCCGCCAACTGGGTTTTTGTTTTTGTTTTTTTGCCCAACTTTCCCCCCCTTGGGAAAAAATTTTTTTTAAACTTTTTTGATCCCCCCCCGGGGGAAAAAGTAAAAAATTTTTTTTTTTTTCCCCCCTTTTTTCCGGGGGGGGTCCCCTTTTAAATTTTTTTTTTTGGGGGGGTAAGAAAAAGAAATGGCCCCCCCTTTCCCGTTTTTCCCGGGTTTTTTGGTTAAAGCCCCCCCCCTTTGGTTAAACCCCTTTTTTTTTTGGGGGGAACCCCCGGGGGTCCCTTTCCGATTAAAAAAAGTTTGGGGGCCCCCTCCTTTAAAACCCCCCCCCCCCCCCCCCCCCCCGTCTCGAAAGGGTTGGTTGATGGTGTAGTGACACAAGGCCGTAATGTCATGAGACAATCTAACAGCAGCAACAACGACGACAACATGTCAGTCCCGAAGGTCAATATGTGTGGTACCCGCTACGAATGTGGCCCTACACGACACGGGCAGAGTGTACTCATGTAAAACGTGTGCCGTAGTCGTTAGACCACTGACCTCGCATCCCGGGACGGAGCGATACGCCGGGTTTTCGCCGGCCCAGGCTATCACATCACAAGGAAGAACCAGAAACTGGTCATCGTACTTAGGTTTGCTATGTCTAAACCAGATATGCAATGGGTTGCGACACCGGCACCGGAGGCGGCATACACTACCGTAGGTTGCGCAAGAATACCGTAAACCACGACACAAGATAACACACCCCCTGGACTGATTTTCAAAGCTCGATTGCTCCACCACGACGAAGAGGATGCAAAAACGAAACGATATTCTACGTTGTCGGAGAACTCTGCACCAGACGGCTTAAGCGCCGCCATTTTCGGCGCCGCGACTCTTTCTGCTGTCGATAAATCGGTCCAGGGGGTGTGTTATCTTGTGTCGTGGTATACGGTACGGCAACCACTGGACCGATTTTCAAAGCTGCATTGCTCTGCAGCAAAAGCAGTATGTAACGGCGCCGAAAATCGCGGGGCGAGAAGCGTCTCGTCGAGGGCTTTCCGAAGACGTATCATTCGATTTGGACATCCTCTTCGTCGTCGTGGAGTAATCGCGCTTTGAAAGTATGTCCGGGAGGTGTGGTATGCGTGTGCGACCTACCGTAGCATACAGTAGTACGATGCAGTGGAGAAATATATACACACTTGCACACTTGCAGGAGGGTACCGTGAAAGCGCGGGCGAACGCACTGCTCGTGTGCCATCGATTACTAAATCTTGGTCGCTCCACAAACCAAGAGGCTGCCGATGCCAGAAAGGGGTGACTTCGGAAATACCTCCTCGTCGAGAGCATGGGGCATCTTTCCTTGCACGTATCGACGGGGTTTCGCCACAACTAACCCCCTTGGTTTTGGGGAGTAATATCGACACCCTTAGAAAATAGATCGATCGCACACCTGATGTGCCTTCGCCCGCCCTCTCACGGTAGAACGCTGTTTCATGTTCAGTCGTCGGGAGCGCGTTTATGTCATGCTCGTGAGTAGTTTTTAAAGAGCTGCCGTCTGTTGACCTTGACAGACACGCGTGCGGCTTCGGTGCACGCTAATCTAGTGCCCGTGACTCTCGGTTTTCCCGCGTGTCTTGATCGAGACACACACACCAACGTCTATGGGGAGTAGACTAGTGTGCAGCATTTTCGATGCTGTACCGAAGGAACAAGCGTAGACTCCATCCCTCAGCGCATTGTTGTCTTTCGTGCTGCCGCGGGATGCGGGTAAAACTTTACTCAATTGGCCGCAACAGCGGGACGTACGTACCCCCCGCGCCTACTATCCCCGCGCGTGTGATCACGCCGACTGTTACAATAGAACGAGAGTGAGCCTGCTGCTGCAGCAGTCCTGGCAGCATCAAGCATCTCCACTGCCGCCCACAACTGCTGCATACCTCGCCTGTTGGTACTACTACAGCAGCAGTGGAAAGGATGTTGCGCGCGGCCGTTGGGTGAACCACTCGCGTTGACACAAGCCAAAGTTGGTTGGCAAATATGTTTGGCTTTGAAACAGTTTCCCTTTTACAGCAGTATTGTCATATGCTGTGTGCTCTCTCGTTCCATCCTTATTCAAACGTGTTGCTGTGCCTCGCTGCTGTGAGTGCAGCAGCAATGGCTGCGGCGGTAGCATCATCAGCTCCACCTACCAACACCGCCGCAAGTCGGCCCTACAGCAGTAGGAAGCAGCGCAGTTTCGAGGCATCGCAATGTACACATTTCCCAGACACACCGAGAGAGTGTTTCGCGACCGCAGTCCAGGCCTCTCGATGTAAGGAACTACGAACCAACAGCAACGGCTTACTCTCTCTTGACAAGCAACCCAAGGCGTAGCTTCCCAACGGCGGCATGCACTGCACCAGACATGCAACGTCTGTGCTCTCGCTAATCTCTCGTACCTGGAAGCGCTGTTGGAAGCAGCGGCCTCCGCCAGGGCAGGGTCGATATCCAACACCCCTTGCGTCGAGTCCTGCCTCATCATCAGCGCATCCTTATTCTCCCCCTTCCCATCCTCTGCTGCCCCGCCCACTCCCGCCACCGCCGCCATGGCGTGCTCTCTCGCTCGCCCCCCGTTTGGTCCCGAATTGGTTGCTACTGCTGTCGCCTTCTAGCTCTCGTTGGTTCCTTTCGGCTTCGGGAAAAACCACGTTCCCTCTGCTTTTCCCGCCGCTTTGCGCCTCCCCAGGCTACGCTGGTACAGCCGGGAATATCACGCGGAGACGTCGCAGAGGCACCCTCCTCTGTCCTATTCCATCCGCAACGGCCGATAGCACAACCAAACAACCTCTGGTGGCAGCAAGTCCTACACCTCGATAGCAGAATGTCCAAGCGCCCGGACCGTTCTGCGACACAGTTCTGTGTTGCCGCCACCACCGCCGCCGCCGCTTTCCGCCGCCGCCACCGCCGCCGCCGCCGCCGTCGCCGCCACCACAAAACCGCCGCCGACCTGCCCACAACCGCAGGAGCTTCCCTTGTGTGTGTAGTAGTACGGCGGGCAACACCAACCCCAAGCAACGCCCGTGTGTGTGTAAGACAGAAGATGAGAGCAGCAGCAGCCCACAGGCCGCCGAAACGGCCGGGGGCATCGCATCTTTTCAGGATACACACCCCCCATCCGACTTATTTTGTTCGGTTCGGCGTCGTACCCCACCCCGCCCCTGTCCCTGGCATCAAGGGTAGACTACGAGATACTCTTGTCTGCTGTACTAATCTGTCTGTCCTTTGCTGGACTAAAGGCTTCATCTCGACTTGGCAATATAGCTCCATTACCCAGTCGGTGTTTTTGTACCCTTTGCTCCTGCCGGGCTACATACAGTTCGTCCACACGTTCATACGTATAGCTCGAATACGAGAGACTGGCTCACTCACAAGAGTACCACTTACATACTGCTGTATTTACAGCATGGGACGAAAAACAACTCGTTCAATGGGTTCCTGGTGTCGTAGTCGCTGTGTGTACCCAGTAAGTACGTAAGAACTCAAGTCAGAAAGCACGTTCCATGGATTGTGTAAGTGTCAAGGAACGCGGGATAAGGTCGTGGGTTTCTACAATATCCTGCTGTAGTAGTGTGTGGCTAACAGAGAGAGGTGAGCGAGCGCGAGCGGTGAACGCTGCCACCGCTCAAGCGCCATGCGCCAGCACAAATATGTTTTCTTGTTGCGCGTCTCATGTAGTCTACGACTTCTCTTGTACAATGTACTTTGCGCATACATACATGATCTGATGATGTTGTCATGTATAAATATATTATTGGGTGTGTTTGTTGAATTGATTAATGGTTTTTGGTTTGGGGAATGTTAATGTTTTTGGTTATGGGGAGACGATACGGGAAGACGATATATATATGAAAGTGTTTATTTAGTTGTACATAGCTGATTGTGGCATTATTCACATGGCATGTTCACATACAAACATGGCCATGTCATCATGCAAGTCGCCCCCCCTGTTTTCAAGGTATTCTGAGCAAGGGAGAACGGAACGTTTACATAATCCAATGGGAAGGAAACAAGCAAGGCTACACGTCTGTTGTTGTTTTCCCGATGTACATGTAGGCACGAACCGTTCTTGTTCACTTCTCAGTCCCATCACAAGAGGCACGCGAACCCACCCCTGAAATGGTACTGAAATGGTATGGGTCCACCGCAATAGGCGCAAACAAACACGACCGATCGCACATCATCACCCAGCTAGCTTTGTAGACTACGTAGTAAATACATGTGGTCTCAAGTGATTTTGTCCAACCCACACCGTTGTGAGACCACATCGTTTCGAGGTATCGGCATGTACCTGTCGCGCGGACGTATTATATGCATGCACATGCATGCGTTCGCAACCAAAACGTGGAACATCAATGGTAAAAAAACGGTTGTGGACGACTTCTTGGGGAGAACCGCAAAGCGCATTGCGTCAGGCTCCCCTTTGTCTTTTTACCTTGCCATGCTAGACTCGACTACACACCAGTATGCTCGAACCTTTACCCAACGTAAGGGGGGTTGTTCACCCACGCGTACGTGCCAACCACGACTGTTTGCGGGCAGTGTAGCTTGGCGTCCGCCATATGATAACCGATGGCAGATTGCACGACACCGACCGTAAACAAACCGTAAACAGCCCCCCCCCTACTCTGCACAATGCTCGCCATTGGATGAACGAACCCGAACACTGCTTTCTATTGCTCTGCATTTCGACCAGGCAGTCGCCGTTAAAAATGCAAGAATCTCAAATGATTACCTCTTTTGCCGGGTGCACTCCCGGTACTTCGACTCTATACAGGCAGTATGCCCACCACATGTACGAAAATGATATTTCGCACTGGTTTCACCCCATACATGTAGTTGTACAACAGCTGCAACTTTAGGACGTGAAGAGAATCCTTGTCTCTATGCTCCCCCCTTCACGCCTCTTTGCCTCCCCGGCCTATTTGTAAATAGCCTGAGGCCTAGGCATTATGTTGTCATCGATTCCAACAACCACAGAGACTCAGGTCCCGGTGGGCTGCTCTCTCTCTTCCGCGGGAAGGAAGTACCTGTGGTCCAGTACATGATAGTTTTGAGGGGTAAAGCGTGAGCGACTTTTTGACAAAAAAAAACGGTTTTGTCGAGGCGGTGTTCCGATCCAATAGCGCGAGCGGTTGACAAAAATCTCGTTACACATGTGTGTGTCTCAATCCTTGCAACAAGCGCGAACACGGCAGACTGCCCATGAGAGCGGCGACGCAGAGTTGGGGGTGGAATACCCGTGTGCCCAAGCCACTTTCGGAGCTGCCGCACACGTCGCTAGGGCAGATGTTGGTTATACCCTGAACCTGTCGTCCCTTAGTCGTACTACGCAGGGTGGAAAAACATCTAACGAGTTGCATCATGCTAGGTGTAGACAGAGTTGTTGAAAGACTGAAACTTATTTTTCCGCGGTTGCATCTCGACGACCCAACAAATGAAGCCGAAACCGACAGTCCGGTGGAAAGACCCTGAAACAGGCGAAGCCCATTAAGTTCTGAAGAATTCCTATCTGCCACGTGCACACAGATATCTGTTCTTCAGGCGCAAGTCGGTGGGGCTGCCACTCACAGTCTATACAATTCCCTCGCGGAATCTACGTCGGCGCTGTCGAACTGGCGCAGAAAAGTGTCCAAGGCTGACCCCGATGCGTCCAACGCCATGCGCACGAACAAAACCTGTCGCAGCCGGGAAAAATAAAACGAGAGTAAGAGCCTACTCGCCAGCGGCGAAGCCTCCACGATATCGGTGGAGTCGGAACAGAATGATGCTTCACGTTCGTAGGATACACATTCAGGGTTACCTGTCTGTCTGCGTCTGTGTCTGCCTTGTCTGTCTGTCTGTCTGTCTATGTCTGTCTGTGTCTGTCTGTGTCTGTCTGTCTCCGTCTCTGTTGTTTCTCTCTGCCTGACTTTCTCTGTCGCACACACAGCATCGGCCCGTAAAGCTGAAGGTCGGATACAGATAGCACCCACACTTGAGAGAACCTGTCAGTATGAAGTCATCGCTCAACAATACAGAACACGCCCGCAGATAAGAACCTCTATTGTACTTCGACGATGGGGATCTTAGTTCCTAGGGTTGTGCTTCGAATGGCCGCTATATATAGGTGTTAGTGTAGGGGTTCTTAACGGAGCTCGCAATTTGGTGCTCAAGTTCTTAGACTTCGAGGGTTTGAGGCTTCATCAATTTCTTCATTAATTGCCAAGTTCTTACAATAATGAAGTGCGGGCACTTTCTGTATATCAAACGTGCGAAGTTCAGCACAACTCATCAGCCCGGCAAAACAAACTGCACGAAAGCTTCAACATAAATCTAGCGGCCATTTGTAGCCCAAACAACAAACCCCAGCCTAGGACAAAAACTATCTCAACTGCTGGCGCTTTTCTGTGTTGTGGAGACATGGTGCGTACAAGAACTCTCACATTCTCTGGCGTCATGTTCCTCAAAGCGACGTTTGAAGTCCAGTCCTTGTCGAGCTTGTCCCAGGCATCGAACTCTACCACCGACGCTAAATATTCCACCGCCGACTGTCCGGCGTCGCCTGCTGCCTGCCGTCGTTAGCAGCCAAGATTCCCGAGCCGAGCTGATATAGATGGCATTGCTGTGGTCAAGGTATTCGCCCAAAACTAGCAGCAGAGACTGCACACCAGCAGCAACTGCAGCGGAGGTTGCTCAAAATGTCAACAACAAGAACATGCAAAAAACTACAGCCGACGTTGCGGAACAGCTTAGACAAGCAGCCAAGATCGACAGATAAAGACATCAAGCCCATTGATACTGTTTCTTGCACCACCACGCCTAAATACGAAGCGGAGGAACTAAAACATCACCTACCCGCCCCCTTTTCAGGCCGGGTCGGGTGGGGCCTGTGAAAGAACAGATTCCCAGGGAACAGCACGTCCCCAATGACCTCCAACCCACCCACCCCCAAATGATGAAAACACGACTTCTGCGTCTCCCCTTCTTTCCCCCAGCCTGACTTGGGCCCGTGAGATGACTCGACTCCCAGAAACACACACACCCCCAACCCCCCGCCCCCGAACGAAACCAAGAAATTTCTTAGCATTTTCGCACCTGGCGTTTTCCTCGGGGAAGGTAGAGGACGGCGTCCTTGATCGACTCCTGGAGGGTAAGGCCTCGCAACACTCCCTTAACCATCCCTCTACACTCTTGCTCGTTGCGCCCGGCCGCTAGGTCCGCCTCCAACCGCCTGCAAAACTCGCGAGCGTTGACGGCGTTCACCAGGCACCTATTGTACCGCATGCGTGAGTGCGAAAAAAAGAGGCGGATGCACGTTTCGAGTGGTCGCGTTGGACGCTGATGTTTATGTGCAAAACTTGACGGTATGTACACGGCATTTTTTTATTGTAGTTTTCAAGCGACAACAACTCCTCCACCATGGTTATTGCGTCCCGGAAATACCCAAAATGTGAAAAGAGGGAATCGTTCTCGACATAAGCTGGGGATGGTGTACCTTTTTGAAGGTGGTCTCCACATTCTCCCCCCCTTTTTTCGGAAGTTCTCCTTGTTTGCTATAATAGGCAAGATAAGTCTTCGAGGGGTAACCGGAACCCGACCGGCTGGCAGCGGGGCGGTCCACTTCTTCATAATCCTCTGCGCGTGATTACACGGGTTCGCTGCGTCCGCCACGTCATCAGAAATCCCGGATTCGATAGCCAGTGGGAACTTCTTGGCCCACCCACCGTTTTTCTCTTTTTCCGTTTATCGGAGGTGTGATTCGGATTACTTCCCCACGTGCACGCAACGCTGAAAGCTGGGTCGGCGGTCGCCATTCGAGGGATGAGCTAAGCATGAGGCTGAGGCTCTGAGCTGCCGTACCTCGCACGAAGAGCGCGAGATGTTTGATTGCGCGGTGATCGATTGTGCCCTGAGAGACGTTGTCTGCGGACAATAGACCGATGTGTGCCTGTAAAGAGCCATTTTTCAGGAAAAGCTTCATGAGGCAGACCCTCCAGCTGGAGATCAGGAGGGAGGTCAGTGTCCTTCAAAGTGATTATCGTCGTGCTATCCACGTCCTGGTTTACCTTGTGTTGGGTTACCGGGGTAGGTGTTTCTTGACTTACCGTTTGCTGGTTTACCGGGTGAGTTGAGTCCTGGTTTACCGTTTGCTGGCAAGAAGGCTTCTTAGGGCAACCGAAACCCGATTGGCTGGCGACGATCCACTTCTTCACAATCTTTTGTGCGTGAATACACGGGTTCCCTACACTGTACGTCCGCCAAGTCACCTTAGAAGTTCCACGACTTCGAAAATCTGTCATTGGTCCCACACCATTGTTTTTCAGTTTTTTGGAAATAAATAAAGATGGCGAGTGGCGGGTTCGAACCCGGGTTTTCTCCCCTAAAAGCAGACATCTCATCGCGACGCCAATAATGTGAAAAGAGGGATCGTCCTCGATAGACGTTGGGGAGATTGTACCTTTATGAAGGTGGTCTCCACAAAAACATAGAGCAATACACGTCCATCTGTGGATAGAGATGGATTCGTTTTACGTATTAAGAATACTAAAAACACAACACACATCCAGAGCCATTTCTTCAAGGGTATCCTGTTGGGGGGGTTGACCATGCGGCCTAACCTGTGTCTGTTGGGGTCGAAAAGGTACACGGAAATATTTTATTGAAGAGAAGCGCCCTCACCTACTCAACGGCCTGCTCGGACCCCCGAACGCCTCGGCAGAACTACCTCCCCCCCTCCCCAGCCCTAACCCCCAGCTTCCCGCAGCCACCGCTCCTACCGCGCGGCCAGCGGAAGCTCGCCGGAGGGCTGTCGCTCGCATCGGTCCGGCAAGACCTATCCCTAGCGCGGTTCCTTTGGCATTTTCCAGTAAATTTCTTCTGGACATCGGCCGCCGGCTGTCGTGGCGTCTGGGGCCCCCGGGGAGGTCTTCGTCCTGCTGGGAAAGAGCGGATGGACGGGCGATTTGTTTTGAGCGCTGCTGGTGACAAGACAGAACGGGCATGCGTGTGTGTGCCATCGCCCATGAATCCTTCTTGCTGTTCTCCGAAAAAATGACGTGATGAGTACTGGGCACGGGAGGCGTTCGCGTCAGCCGGACATGTAAGGACTACTGTATCCCTCTCTTTACGCGCTGAGGTGATCGATTCCTGGCGTGTCGCCTGCTGTGGCGTACTTGGCACTATATCTCCTTACGCTTTGATGCGATCGATTCCTGGCGTGTAGGCTGCTGTGGCGTTTTCGCTACCTCTTTACGCCTTGATGTCATTGATTCCTGGCGCTTGGTCTACTGCTGTGGCGTACTTGGAATGGGCTGAATCTCGAAACGGTGCACTGCGATATCTTGCTCGCACTGAGAATGCTTCACTGAGAGAAACATGTGTACCACCAAGTCGGCAAGGGTCTTTACGTGCAGCTGACATGCGCGCGTCCCGACACCGGAACCCAACGTACTCAAACCCGACGAACGAACGGTCGGTCCCTTCAGCCTTCAGCCCTTGCGGGGCCCGCCAATACCAGCCCATTTTAACCCTATGCGAAGTATAAAGGAAATCAAGAATGAAAACCATATTTTCGCCCTTCACCGACCGCTAGATCTAGTACTACTACACTCTTTATGACACATGTCCGTGCGGGTGTTGTACATGGGTCTACGAGAGGCAGGAGGAAGTACGCGAGGTACAGGTCTGTGTAGTACGCGAGGTACAGGTCTGTGTACCTACCTGTGCACACATACAGCTCCCTGCCGACGCGGCGTGGACACGAGGCAACCGACGCAAGAATCAGTTGACGGGGGTAGGTCCTAGCGACCAAGGGATCACAACAGCTGGAGGGTCAACACATGGCACTCCCATTCATGGAATCTACTACTGCTGTTGTGCTGCTACAGCTGTACTGCTGTGCGCACAGCAGTCTACATGTACAGCAGTACAGCAGTAGTACGACTGCCGTACAGCAGTTGTCACGACTGCAGCAGGGTGCCGGGTGTGTGAGAGTACGGACCACGGCGTAGTTCTTCAGCAGCGTATGCGCACGGAAATACATATGCAAGACCAACGGCACCTCCACTGCTCTTCCTACTCACCTCGGAGGACGCTGTGCGGACGCCAGACGCCACTCTAGGCGGTGACCCTACCCCCTGACACAGCGACAACAGCGACCTCTGATTCATGAGCAATGCTTCACAGCAGTAAGAGAGATCGAGCAGAAGAAGGACCGTCGTAGCACCCATGCGTGCGAGACCACCAGCGCTTCTAGGGGAAAGGCGTACGGCCGTCTCTCGTTGTGGCCTATGGGCATCGTGGTGAGGCCTTGATCGCTCCATGGACTCGCACACGAAGTGAGGTGGGAGGTGGGTTGGCCTCGCCCGCAACTGCTACTACTGAGTTAATTGCGCCGCGTTTTTGCTCCAACAGCCCGAAGCGGGCTGATGCGCGAACTAATTTTTCCGATCCTACACGCGCCCGCCAAGCGCATTCTCCGACCAACTCACACACGGCGCGTGTCTGGCTACGTAGCGAGCTGGCGAGGAGATCATGGGAGCGGGTGGAAGAGCTCGGCTGCTGGCTGCGTGGCTGCCGGCGGTGCTGATGGGTGAGTGCATGTGGGGTACACCGCCGTTCACGAAGTAGCTGTAGCCGGTGCGGAAGGGGCAGAGAGGCACTAGCGCCCCCGCTTCCGTCATTTTGTTTGGTACACACTCGAGTGGGGAGGTCGTCAAGCATCCCGCCTTTTGCTATGGCACAATAGTAACAGCCTCACTGCTGTGACTAGGCAGCGATCGTAGTGCCTTTAGCAGATGTGGCGTTAGCGAATAGCAAACGCTGTAAGTAAGTGTGCACTGCTGCTGGCTGCTGTGTAGCTGCGGAGAGTTGCAGCAGCATTTCTGTTGGTGGTACCTGATGTCTGTCGTCAGCACACAACAGGAGCTGCAGACCCAGTGACAGTCGCAACCCCTGAAACGGAAACGCCTTGCGAACAAGCGAGAAGACGCTCTGATACTGCTGGTTGGCACACACGAGAGCGGGTGGTATGCATTCTGATACAGCAGCAGTACTGTGTAGTACCTGGAGAGCACATGCTCGGGCCAATATATTACAACCCACATCATTTTTCACCCGCCTGCAAGTAATTCCAGCTGCTGTCACTGCCGCCCCTCAATACCCACGTAGATTAGACGGACATCCGTTTCGGGGGACGCGTCCCTCTGGTGCTATCCGCGGATGCCGCTGACCGCAACCAGACTCTGGCTGAGGCTCAGCCGCTGAGAGCATGTTTTACAACGCCAAAGGCCTTCGATATATCCAAGATTTGTTGGATCTGAATCTGCCGGTTGCGTGCGCAGATAGCGGAGTTTCATGATGTCACCAACTCGCGCCTGCTGCTTCCCACGCGTCATGATGACCTCGACGTGCACCGTCAGTCATCCACCGTAACATGTGGTGGGCTTGGTTTTGCGTCATGGTGTAGTGTTGGAGAGCTTTGTTGTGTTCCATGTTTGGACGCATATTCTACGATGATTTCCTTCTCGAGTCGTGAAAATTCGGAGGACGTACGTCCTTTTCTATATCACCCAGAACAGCAACCAGGCTGCAGTGTGTCCCATGTACGTGAGCGTCGTATCTTGAAGTATCTACGTACACAAACACAAGGGCTTTGCTAAGACATCACATGCATTGCCCGCTCTCTGCCGCGGGTGTCTACGTACGTTCACAAATAGTCTACACGATAGCCTCCCGTTCAGATTATTGGTGCCGAGCTTTGGTCGTCTTGCGTTGTTGCCCGGTGGACCGAACAATATGCGGTTGATTGTGAGAACGATACTTCAGCCAGCTGCGGTGGATTCTGCATGCGCATATCTGCACGCGCATATCATATGCGCATGTATTGACAGCAATGCAAAACTTTTCGGGGGCTCCCCGCTACACGTTTTGGTATCTCGAAAAACAAAAAGGCATCGTACTGCTGTACACCCAAGCACCTCTCTCTACATAATAAAGGGTCGTCATTATATAGAGCGATTTTGCTTACATATTCCAAATTTCCAATTCCGACCCTCCAGATATCCAGATTGTCATCCAAACGTTCCAATCTTTATCTTTCGGTGCAAACAAATTTCTAAATTTCCAAATAATTTTTCCCTCGGCCGCAGAGATCGAGGTTCAACGGTCTACGGATTTGGAAATTTGGAAACTTGGAAGCGAAATAGCTGCCGGATAACAACACGGCCCTCGGAAAGAAACACCAACATTTTGAGCCGCGCGCTACCCTTCCATGTTGTCCACATCCAATGGCTGCATAATAAATAGAATACCGCAGATACAGTGTCGTAGGGAGTGAACCACCTAACCCACTCAAGAATGAAAATACTTCGTTGTTCCTTGTAGGATGAGAAACGAAATGAATGGCGCACCCATGTGCGTGCGTGCTTAGATACAAAACACGGGGGAGACATCGCTGTGTGCTGCTCGGGAAACCGTGGAAATACAGGTAGCTTTCTCTGACGCTATGAATTCGTTGCTAATCTATCCTAGACTCTTTTCCTAGATAGAGATGGATTCGTTGGGTCATATTTAGAAGAAAAAAAAAAATATATATATATATACTTGAAAACCTACAAGGCGCAACGAATAATACCCAGTTCTATGCATGTAATAGTATAATAGTGCAAGGTGTCGACAACGTCGTCCCCCCACCCCTTCCGGAAAAAAACACCGCTCGCAGCAGGTGGTGCCGGGACCGTTTCGGGTGTGCTCGTCTCCACTCAACTCCAGCAGCAAGAGGAGCAGCACCAGGTCTTGGGCGTGGTGGGGAAGAGTCGTCACGGTGGCGGCGGCGGCAACAACAACAACAGCCGTTTGCGAGGTGCCGGCAGCAGCACCAACCCCTCCTTCGGATCCGCCGGACCTCCGTCAGCCATGACGGCAACGACCGCTTTCATCGAACTCCCGCGGGCAGAGGAGGCAGAACAAGAAGAAGCAAGGATGAAGGGAGGAGTGGGAAGCGACGAATCGGGAGGGAGAGGGTGGGGGGCTGACGGGAAACAAGGCTCTCGGAAGGCTGGGGTGTCGGCGGGAGCGGGGCCTGGGGAGGAGGGTGTCGCAGCGGGCGCTCGTGCGCAGGAGGCGAAACAGGGGTCACGCCGCCCGGGCCAGCAGTGAGTTGTTCCGTCGGAAGAACTCCAACGCCTGTAGACTACGTGCGGTAGGGGGGCGCTCAATAAATAAAGCGCCGGTCGAACAGCGTCGGTGGCCTGTATAGCTTCGGGGAAGTTGCTGGGCATTCTGCACTTTGAATAGGGCCCATCCCTTCTCAACAGCGCCGGTCGATGCACCGGGCACATTCTGGCGTTATTGAGGGGCCCCCACTGTTACGTACTGTGTTCGCCAAACACCGCTGTGTCTTACCGTATTGGAGGAGGAACGTATTGTGGATGGGAGTTGTTCCGTCGGAAGAAGTCGATGCCAATATATACGGTACTCACCAGATACCACTGGATCATGCCGTATTGGAGGGGAATTATTTTGTGGTTTCGTGTCGGCCAATGAAAAAAGCTCGCCCGGACGGCCGGTCCTTAATTGGGTCTCTTGACACGCGGGTCACAGGGCGAGGTGTGTGTTGCAACCGCCCTACGTATGTGCAACATCGCCAGACACCCATTTGATCGAGAACCACACCTACCTGAAAAAAACAGCATCCTAGGTCGATGAAGGATCAGTATTCTAAGCAGTGCTATCGCGTAGGTATCGAAACCCTAAAAATTTGGTTTTGACTGTTTGATTCTGTTGATTGCTTCGTTGCAAAAACTCCTGCCGGGCATTCCTTTTATGTGAGTCGGGGGCTGATGCGTCCGGAAAGTGTACCGAACGCCGGACGGAAAGACTGAAGTCCAGAATGGGACGAAACGAACACAAACGGTATTCCTAGTGATCGAAGAAACTATCAAATGTACCCCAAGTACTCTAAGCGGAGCAATAAACGAGTGAACCTCAGGTAGGTGCTGTACCTATAACACGATCACGAAAAAAGCACTCACAGAGATATGTCGGCCCTGGCTCTACCCTGCGCTGCGCTATGCCAGAGACGACACCGTCTCCGACCACGATTCATCGGGTCAGGGCATCACCGTCATTGCCGCCTGCATCGGAGCGTGAGTAGTTCTTGTTGTGGGAGTAGTCATCGCTGTATGCTGCTGCTGCTTTACCAGGGGTCGTTGGTCGTTGGTCGTTGTCGTTGTCGTTGTCGTTGTTATTGTTGGTAGTGGTGTTGGTGTTGGTGTTGTGACGGGTGTTGGTGGTGGTGTTGGGTTGATGTTTCTGCCTGTCGGTCTTGTCTGCCTTTGTATTGGCGCCCTGAACCTCTTTCCGGCACACCCTCCACACTGCACACTGACGGCACCGCGGTAAAAAAACAGAGGAGAGTCCAGGTCGAGAGAGCGTTCGCCCAGTGTTGCGTAGCGCACGGGAAATTCCTGCGTATAGCCTGTTTTATTTTTTGTCACGCGAGCGCTGCTGGGTTATCTCCAATGCTGTTGGAATGGGGTTCAAATACCCCCGTTTTGATGCCAACACAGCAGAGAAGCACGCCGGATCCAACCAAAAATGGGTGCAGCCTGTTGTTTTAGTCACACGAATGCTGCTCGAATTGTCTCCGATGTTGTTATAATGAAGTGCAAAACGACCCGTTTCGATGCCAGCAAGCCGCAAATAAAACCAAAAAATCCGTTTCGATGCCAGCAAGCCGTATATATACAACCACAAAACGATTCTCGCTTCTCGATCGCGCCGCCAGGCTTGTCGTCTTCTCGATGGTTTGGTGCTGGCTGAGCTCCGTGTTCGTCTGCGTGTCCTGGTGCGTGTGCAAGTGCGCCCGCCCCAACTCGAGGCACTCGTCGTCCAGTTGCACGGAAAACAAGCACGTCGACACCTACGCGGGGGCGGTTCGAGCGACTTTCTGCGGGACCTTGGCGAGCGTTGTCTGCGTCTCCGATGGGGGCACCGCTGGGAGTGAGAAAAATGCTAGCGTGTATGTATGCCGCACCGTTATGCTGTTGAGGAACCCCTCCGCTCCCACAGTCCCGGCTCTGTAGGGATGCGAGGTCAATGGTCCAACGACTACGGCAAGGGTAACCCCCCCCCCTCCCTCCACCCGAATTTGGACGACTGCCATTGCTCATGGCTGCGACGGAGGGGAATATTCGCCCGTGGTCTAACGACTACGGCATGCGTTTGCATGAGTAACACCCCTCCGTCCCCTCCGCCCGAATTTGGACGATTGCCACGGCTCATGGTTGAGATGGAGGGGACTAGCCGCGAGTGGTTTTCGTGTCGCTACGTTTATTTTTGTTTGTTTTGTAACCGCGAAGCCGTGTCTGTAAACTCAACATTTTTTTTTTGTTTTGTTGCCTCTTCGTGGTGTTTTCCGGACCCGATGTCCCAGCCAAGCCCTCGTCCTCCGAGCTTTGGACATGACTGTTTCCGAAACGTGAATTGTTCTCATTCCAATTGAGATACACTCCCGAGTATAGTAGATAATGACTACCCTTCCCGCCAGTAATACCCCCCCCCCCTCCCCCCCCTTGTTTTTCCGCCTTGTCCACGACAAGAAAACGACACCAACGGCCAGGAGGATGGGTTTCCTGCTTCACTTCCGTGCACCCCCCAGCCCGGCAGCAGCATCGGTAGCACCAGCAGCAGCGAAAACCTAGTCGACGAGGCAGCTGCTGTCACCCACGCTGGAGTTACCGCGGATGCTCCTCCCGCCGCAATCAAAGGCGCCGCTCCCGTAAACATCGACGGTGGCGCGGCTTCGAGTTACTCGGCGTTTTCGGGCATGTTTCGGCGCGCGCTGACTGCGACGGCCCTCCCTCCCGACACCCCAACCGCGCACGGCTCTCCCTCCGCGGGCCACGGCGCACAACTCCGGCAGCAACAGCACGGGCTCGACGGTAACGGTGGCGATGGCAGCAGCGATCAAAACCCCCTCGCCTTGTGCCCCACCGGCGACGGCGGCGGCAGCAGTGGCGATATTGCTTTGGTCTGGGGAGAAGAGAAGCAGAGCGAGAACGGCAGTCACACCACCACCGACGCCGCGCGACCTCGCGGCCGCCCCTTCCTGAGATCGTCCGGCGGCGCTAGCGACAGAACGCCCTGGACGCATCGTTTCTGGGCAAGGTCTAGCGGCGACAGCTGCAGGCATGAAGCGGGCAGACGGTGGGGTACGGGAGGGGGGCCCGCGTCTGGGGTTTCGAACGGTTCTCCAGAACGTTCTTCGGGGGAGAACGGTTCTCCAGAAGGTTCTTTGGGGGAGGCCGCCGCCTTCGAGGGACACCACGGGTTGTTCGACGCCTTGTCGCACCGAAGGAGGGAGGCCCATCGGGCCCGCCTGGCCGGCGGGAGTCGGGCTCAGGAAAGGGGGCGCGGTGGCGACGGACACCTGACTTCCGCCGCCGCCGCCGCAGAGCCCGACAGCGGTGGTGGCAACAACAGCAGGAGCCGAGGAAACGCTGCTGGCTGTGTTGTTGGTGCGACGGCGGACCAGCAGGTGTCGCCGGAACCAGCCGTCCTCGCGACGCCAGCGCCGCCGGAAACCGCAGCCGGGAGCGCGCTACGCAGCAGCAGCAGCACCAACAATAACGACGGAGGAGGACGAGAGGTAACAGCGGCAGGAGGCGGAGCTGCCGCAGAGATTTCCCGGGTGGAGAGGGGTTGCCCACCCCGAGGGGGCGGTGTTGCCGAAGACGCAGGGAACGGCGACGAGGAACGGGGAGAAGATCGCGGGTCCTTTCCCCCCGGGGACACGGAGTCGATACCCCCGGGTTTGCCCAGGGCGAGGATGTTGTGGCGCGCGTTTTCGGAGGTGGATCACAACAAGATCGAGGACAACCACCGGCGGGCCGCGCAGCGACACCTTGCGAGATTTGGCCCGGCGCCCGGAGTCCGAAATCCGCCCATGTGTTACGGGCCCATGTAGTGTTTTTCTTGCCATCGATATTTTTCGTTCTAGAAAGGTGTGCCCCTCTTTGGGTAGTAGTTGGCCTGTGACCTATTATCAAAGGAAGTCCGCATCAGTGGGACTAGTAGTACGGATATCAGAAGGCACTGCAGCGGAGGCCGGAACGGTTATTATTTACTGTGTAGACAGAAGCAGCAGCAGCAACAACAACAACAATAACAACAATCTCCGATGTGTACGTGTCTCCGATGTGCACCTCAAGTAGACCGGCTCTGGGGTTGTGTTGTCGAGAAAGTTCAGGGGCAAGATAGCAGGCTTTTACCACGGAGAGGAGAGGGGAAGGACACGAGGCTGCGCGTGCGTGCGCAGCGTGACTGCTTTCTTCCCGTTCCCCGTCATTAGCTGTGTTGTGTGTGCGTGTGTGGTATTATTAAGTTTTTCGAGAGTTCCTCGCTGGCAGAGAGCTCCCCCCCCCCCCCCCCCCTACTAAAAGTGGGGGCGGAATATTTCCCGGAAGGGGTCCCGAACGGGCGGGACGGAGGTTAACGCGCTTGAGCCGCACCGGGGGGATATCAAAAAACCCCGGGGACACGTTTTGTGCGGGGGTTAGCATAAGTTGCCTAAACAGCTTCCCCCAAATCATTGTTATTTAGTTATCCTGGGGGGGCCCAAGGGAACTGAATATTATGCGGGATCCCATACCAAGAACCCTGTTTAAAAAAAAATGTGTTTGTGCGGGACGTGAGAAAACCTTGGGGGG